ATAATTATGTTGTTATGAAACATGTTTAAAAGTCGCTTCCGCATTATTATTAAACACTCCGCATTTTCTACAATTATGTATGGAATATTATTTATAAATAAAAATGTTTGAAATGTTTTAAATTATCACGATTACCAAATCAATACTTTAGTCCGAAAGGGGCTGCAGACCTCGACGGATTAGGGTGTTACACAACCTGTTCAAGTTCCACAGTTTGAATTAAAGTGAGGGTGGGATCCTTATAGAAAATCCAAAGTTGATTGTTGAGGTAGGAAGCAGCTTGGGACATGCCGAATTTAAATTTGAAAGCAGTCAGTTCTGTACAAGCGACCAAAGGTTCCATAATAGCAATAAATGAGCAGTTGTGAAGGGAAGTGATAGTATTAATTCTGTGGACAGACTTCCGCATCCCACGTGTGTTCCAAAAGAGGAGGGACATTATGAAGGGTAGGAGTGAGCTTTAGCTTGACTCCTAAGAGTCATGTGCATAAGGGGCATTGGTTTCATGGAACCTCTTCCCTTCATAAATGAAAGTGCATTCTTCTTGAAAGCAGACAATTTACCCTCCAAGGAGGAAACGGGGCTCTTGAAAATGATTTTTTATCCTTCTCCATCAGAGTGTATGCACACAGGGGTGCAAGGGGTTTCAGGTTCCACATATGTGGAGAGAAGTCCAAGGGAATCCAGTGTAGAGGTATGTTCAAGAGCTATGGACTTTTGTTTCACAAGGTGGGAAGTGGGAATCTTGTCGTTAATAATATCTCCATCCTGACCAGATTTTGGGCCCGCTTCGAGAGGGGGAACAATCTCCAACGCGACTACTGAGGGATGGTAATTGGAGCTTGGGCCAGGGCTGTCCTTGGTGTCAGCAGTATTCCTGTCTCCAAGTGCCTGGAATTTATTTGCGGCTTGTAACCATGTTGGCTCTTTCCTCCTTGTATTAACCTGCATGGGCTTTTTCCCTTTACGCTCCACTCTGGTCCACTCATGGGACACTTTATTGTTTGTTGTGGCCCTATGCCTCGACTGGAGTTGACCACCGGTGAGGACTTTCCCGGCGGCAGGTGGGGGGGTGCAGCAGTGCCCCCATCGTTTACAGAATTTGCAGAAAAGGGGAGGGTCATAGACCACAACAATGGTTTTGACCCAAGAAGTAGAAGAAACCTGGATGGAAGAGATTTTGGGTTTGGTAACATCCATTTCCACAAGAAATCTAGCAGTTTGGTAGTAACCTCCCCTTGCTGTGGTATCATCAAGCTTGATTGGATTCCCCAGGGCCTTAACCACTGAAAACAAATTTCTTTTGTCAAGGAGGAAGAAAGGAAGGTGTTTGAGGGTTACCCAGATGAGAGCTTGAGGGCTATCATGTTTATCTTCTGTGCTCGGATCCCATTTGGAAATGGAGAGCTGAATTCCATTGACCGTCCATGACCTCTTGGAGAGCATACGGAGGTAATCTCCATGTTGATTGAAGACAATGATTACCTGGAATCTGGTGACTGCTGTGATACGGAATCCTCCCTTGAAACCCCCTTTTTCCATGCTCTTTTCAATCTCCTCCGACGAAGTATCCTTCTTGAATCTTGCCTTGACAGTAAAAGGAAACCTATCCCTGATATTATCCAGCTCTTCATCATTGAAAAACACAGTGGGTTTGCCTGAGATAGATGATTTGATGCTACCAATAGGTTTACATCCTTCCTCCGTGAAAAGTTCAGAGAATATCTTACTCAGCCGGCGTTGGCCGAAACCCGGAAAACCAGAGGATTCCGGCAGCTTTCTCTCACTAGCCATCTCATCCATCAGGAATGGATTTGATTTTCTTTCCATATATATATATACTCCCTCCGTCCCACTGTTTTTGTCCACTTACCTTTTTGCACACCATCCAATGCACTTCTTTAATCCATTTTATCTTGTTAAGACGAATCAAACAAGATCACACATGACTATTTTTAGGCTTACACATTAAGAGAATTTGATGAGTCAAAGTGCTTAGATGAACAGTTCCAAAAGTCAAAAGTGGACAAAGACAATGGGAGGGAGGTAGTATATATATATATATATATATATATATATAACTGTGTGTGTGTGTAGGGATTGACTCCGGTGAGATGACACCTTGTGTTAAGATGACATGTAGCCAGGCGAGGAGTTTTCCGGTGAGAATACAAGGAGGTAGAAGAGAAGGAGGGCTACACAAGAAGTCGTTCATTCATTCGTTCGTCCGTTCATCGTTCATTGTCGTCCATCCGTTCAATCCACTTACGTTTCATCAAACCCTTCGTTTAGAGGTGAGTAGTTGTTCCCTCTAATTCTAGAACATTTAGTTATAATCTATGTCGTTATATTCATAGGAATATCGTACGCAACCTACGTAGAATCTATGCATGTTCGTAGGTTAGCCAACAAAACGTTCACTATGTAAAACTTATATATATTGGCCTGGGAATCACTAGGAATATATTCATCACTGTTTTATTATTGTTCCAAAAAGAATCCAGGTGTTAAGTTTGCAAAATGGATCAAAACGAAGCGTAGGATAGAGGACTGTCTTCGGGACGGTCGACCGCTGATAAGGACGGTGGACCGTTCCCTCGGCCATTCCGACGGTCACCACCGTGACGGTCGACCACCGGCCGTGACAGAAGACCACGGTGGACCGTCCGTGACCCAGACCCTAGACTGTAGCCCACGGTCAACCGCCGGTAGGGTACGGTCGAGCATTCCGCGAGCAGAATTCCGGGAAGTTTGTAGAACGAGCCCCGTTGACCCAATTGACTCAGAATCTGATTATATATTTGTATGAAATGTTAATCTTCATTATGTATGTTATCTAAATGAAATATTCTTGGCGTTGACCAAAGGTAAATATATCAAGCATTCATCATGTTCATCCTAGACGCACGTCCTAGGTTTATCATCATGTGCATACCGCTGAGGTCAGGCTTTCGTGCGCTTACTACAGTGGGCCCGTCCAGGAACCTTCGGGATCCAATGGGTTTTCATCAGGTGGGCTTTGTGTACGTACATAGTAGTTAGGTTACAGCTACTACCCGGTTTTGCTAGTCCACTTGTTCTTGGCTCATTACCGTTTCGGTATGACAACCGGAGTGCAGGGGTGATCCTGTCAAGTGAGGCTAAGCCAGAGGTGTCCTTGATAGTTTAAGTCATGCATCAAGTCATATCGTCATCATGCATGTTCCACGTCACATCAACATTCAATGTGGTTGCTATTCATTTTGTTAAGTGTAAAAAGTATCCCATCAAGTGCAAATTAATCAGTTAGTAAACATGGGGTTTTCCGTACGTAGTTACAGGTATTAATATGTGTATAACCATATGGGTTATCACTTCATGTTCTTTTGTTAGATTCACTCCTCAGCTTTTGCTGAGCGTGTAGTTGTTTTTGATACACGCAAGTAGACATGACGGTACAAGTGCTAACCCTGGAGGACAGTGATGATGGGAAGATGGGCGGCGCACGGACGAGTTTAATAATTGAATACATTTAATAAATTAATCATTTGGGCAAGAACCCACCATTTTTCGTTTCACTTATTTTGGACTTATTTATTTACTTCCGCTTCTACTCTACATTTATATCACACACGTTTTGGGGATAACTCCCTAGCATTTATTTCACCAATTAAACGCAAACGTTTTCATAATAAATATACATTAATGTTTTACGTTACAAACGGTTCTCGGACCGCCCATGTAACCCTACCGGTCCGTTGGGTCGCGGGTGAACCGGGTCCACGGAAGGCGGGTGTTACACTTCATCATCATGAACAGATAAGTCTTGTCTCTCCCCCTTAGAGACAAGCTCGCGAGTCCTTGTGCAAAAGTCATCGTTTTGTTGTGCGATAACAATCTCGTCATCCAATGTCGGGCGCACATGGTGTTCTGCTAATGATTTGCGACTGAGTGCGTCAGCCACAACATTAGCCCTTCCCGGGTGATACTCGATCTCGCAGTCGTAATCCTTGATCAATTCTAGCCAACATCATTGCCGTAGATTCAACTCCTTCTGAGACAATAAGTACCTCAGACTTTTATGATCAGTGTAGATGTACGTCCTTTCACCGAACAGATAGTGTCTCCAGATCTTCAATGCGAAGACGACAGCTACGAGCTCCAAGTCGTGTGTAGGATAATTTCCCTCATGTGGCTTAAGCTTTCGGGAAACATAAGCAATAACCTGGACTTGTTGCATAAGTACGCAACCAAGTCCTACAATTGATGCGTCGGTGTAGACGGTTTAGTCAACCCCAGGCTTGGGTTGTGTCAACACGGGTGCCTCAGTAAGACACTTCTTCAGGCGATCGAAACTACTCTGGAACTGGTTGGTCCACATGAATTTACAGTCCTTCAATAGTTTGTGAAGTGGGGAAGCAATCAAGGAAAAGCCTTCGACGAAACGCTGATAATACCCAGCTAGTCCAAGGAAACTTCTCACCTCACGAACGTTGTGCGATGTCTTCCATTCGATAACGGCGGATATCTTCATCAGATCTACTCTGATGCCGTCTGCTGAGATAACATGTCCAAGGAATGTTACTTCCTTAAGACAAAATTCACATTTTGACAGCTTAGCGAACAACTTGTGTTTCCTAAGGATGCCAAGTATGAATTCCAAGTGTCGAGCATGTTCCTTCAGTGTTTTAGAATACACCAAGATATCGTCGATGAACACGACCACGAACTGGTCAAGGAAAGGCCGAAAGATGCTATTCATGAGGTCCATGAACACGGTGGGTGCATTGGTTAACCCGAATGGCATTACAGTGAATTCGTAATGTCCATATCGAGTACGAAAGGCAGTTTTAGGAATATCTTCCCTTCGAACCGGAATCTGGTGGCATCCTGATCGGAGATCAATCTTTGAGAATACTAGGGCTCCTCATAGTTGATCAAACAGGTCATCGATACGCGGTAGGGGGTAACAGTTCTTTATTGTCATCTTGTTGAGCTGCCGATAGTCAATGCATAATCTCATGGATCCATCCTTCTTTCTGACAAAAAGGACAGGTGCTCCCCACGGGGACGAACTGGGCCGTATGAAACCCTTGTCGAGCAACTCTTGCAGTTGGGCCTTAAGTTCCTTCATCTCAGCTGGTGCCATCCGATCCGGTGTAGCCGATATAGGATCCGTTCCAGGAACAAGGTCGATTGAGAACTCTACCTCTCGTGGGGGAGGTAGACCGGGTAATTCATCGGGAAACACATCCGAAAAGTCATGCACAGTAGGGATGTCTTCCAAACTGGACGGATCCTTCCGCACATCGAAAACATTACACAAGAAGGCCTCACACTTCTTGCGGATCAAACGCTTAGCCTGCATCATGGAAATAAATTCGGAGGGTCTAGGAAGTACTCACCGATCACTATGACATTATTGTCGCCCTCAGCCTTAAGCCGAACTGGTCTTGCATCGCCATCTATCAGAGCTCCATGCTCTGCAAGGCAATCCATACCAAGGATAATGTCAAACTCCTTGTATGGCAACTCAATCAGATTAGCAGGGAAGGTCTTTTCCTGAAACACTAAAGGGCATCTACGAAAAATGTGATGTAAGCGAAGGCTGTGACCAAGAGGGTTGGTCACTACTACCGGACAGAAGAGAACCTCTGCGTGCGGAAGATGGTCGGAGTCCACAAAATCCATGGACTTTTTGTTGGATTTGAAATCAAATTTTTTATTTATACTCAAAACCAAAAATCCATCACAAGCCATATTTTATAACAGTCGCTAAAAATCTATTTATCTTTTACTCAAGGGGATGAAAGCCCATTTGCAAAAAAATCAAATTTTTAATTGAGTATCTCGAGATTTTAAATGTTTTTTTCAAAATTTCAATTGAATGCATCCAAATTTTAAACATTTTTTCAAAATCTAAATTGAATATCCACCTGCTTTTAAAATATAAAAAAGAGTAAATTCCATAAAAAGTCCCCAATTATTATACTCCCTCCGTCCCACTTTAGATTACAATATTCCCTTTTTGTTGAAATTAAGAAAAAATCAAATCAATTTTTTTTCTCCAAATTACCCTCCAAATCCCCCAAGTATTCTTCACACTCACATGGATGAATAGTATGTGAATAGTGTAGGAGTGAGAGGGTAAAAGAGTCAATTCTTTGTAAAGTTATTGACTTTGTAATTCATTTTGGGACAAAAATGTGAGGGAATATTGTAATCTATTTCGGGACGGAGGGAGTATTGTTTTCCACGAATGATCCTTTGTTAACATTTTCATTAAAAACGTAGATAAAATTGCAAATTACACTTCTCTCTCTCATTAGTTAAGTTTTCTCCCTCCTCTCGCACTTTTTTCTCAAACTCGCCGATGAGTTTGAAGCTTTGAACTCAAAACCAAAATCATCACTCATTTTTCAATTGTTCGTTTGCCTGGTGAAATCCAAAAACGGAACGACTAACCTTCATGGATGAGTTTTAAGATTTGTTTTCTTTGCAATTTTTTGAGACTAACCCATAAAACTCATACGTGAGGGTTATTGGTTTCGATTTTGGGTTCCACCAGGAAGATGAACAATTGAGAGAGGAGTGATCGATTCAATTTTGGATTTAGAGCTTCAAACTCAGCGACGGGTTTGAGAATGAGTACGAGAGGAGGGAAGAAACTTAATTGAAGAGAGAGAGCAGTATAAATATACAATTTTATCCATGTTCTTAACGAAAATGTTAACAAAAAACTCTTTGTGGAAAGCAATATAATAATTCGGGACTAAATTATTGATATTTGACAATCATGATTCTGATGGATTTTTTTGTATTTTAAAAGTTAATGGGTATTCAAGTAAGATTTTGAAAAATCTTTTAAAATATGAAGGTATTCAAGTGAGATTTTGTAAATTTATTTGAAATACAGAGATATTCAATTGATACTTTGAAAAATCTCTCTAAATTAAATGGTATTGGAAAATTGAAAGATTGTCAAAGATTATTATTAAATGTGGATTTTGAAGGATTTTTAATTTTGAGTATAAATAAAAATCCTTGTTAAAAATTTGGCCAAAGTCGTTGAGATTTTGCCAGATTCTTTTCTTCTTTACGCTGTTCTTCTCTTCTCCCCTTCACCTTTCCCTTTTCTGTCACCTCCACCTTCCTCCATCACCGCCACAATACTCCGATCTTCCTCCAAGTTAGTCGAAGAGACAACTTGAAAAGAAGAAAGAGGAAGAATCAAAGAAAAAGATGATGACGATGATGTGGGAGTACTATTCATGAGTTGTGAATCCCATTCATGAGGTGCAAATTTCCTTTGACCCACCAAAGAAATAGTCGGAGAGCCGGGATTCCAGGAAGAGAGGGTATGGAGACATGGACTTTTCAAATTACTCTCAAATTTATTAAAATCTATCTAGATTCATATGGAGTTTATTAAAATCTATCTTGATTTATATGGAATTAAAATAATATATGAATCATACATAATCCATGGATTTTAAAAACTCTAAAAAAATCTAATCGAATACACCTCCCTAAATATGTAAAACTTGAAGATTTTTTATGGAATTTACTCTATAAAAAACTCATATTCTTGATTGACTGCTACCCTCAGTTCTGTATGACAGTACTTCTGCGATCTCACTTCTCAGAGACAAAATGGCGTGCAATTCAGCAACCTGCAATCCAGGTTGCTTAAGAGACGCCTCCCGCGAAGATGCAGAAAAAGAACAGCAGAGTCATCCAACGGCTGATGATCATGGAACTTGCAATGGAGACGAGCATGTTTCCAACAGAGCCGAGTCCCTTAGCAACAGCATCTGCTTAAAATGTAAACTGAATGAGACCATCGCAGCCAGCGGCTTCGGCGCCGGTCTTATTAATGGAGATGGAGGAAGGTTCTGTGCTGATTGTTTCAGAAGCAATTTGTATTGGAAGTTCAGGTTTTCTGTTACCTCCAATGATATGATCTCGCCTGCAGATAACGTCCTTGTAGCCTTCTCTGGGGGGGCCTCCTCCAGGTCTTTTTCTCTCTGTCTCTTTTCCTTTCCCTTTCCCTTTCCCTCTCCGCTATATACCTCAGTTCTGCTTCATTAAATGATTTCCTTTGGATTTAAGAAGGGTTTAAGTCGCCCTCAATAAATAAGGAGGAGGAGGGTTTAAGGGCCAGTTTGGGAATAGCTTTTTCGATTAGCGTTAGCATTTTGGATAAAATTTTAAGAGTGCAGATTAACGTCAAAAACGCTAACGCTACGTCAAAAATGCTAACGCTAAAGGCTACTCGTAGATAGCCTTTTCAAAGCGCTAACGCTAATCTCTAGCGCTATTCCCAAACAGGCCCTAAGTTGTCAATGCCTATAATTGTAATCTAAGTCAACTAAAATTTGGCATGTGTAAGTCTGTATGTGTCTTTTTATTGTTTCCTGCTTATCTGATTTGCCAGTTTAGTTCTGGTTTATAGCTTTGCCACAAGTCTATATTTCTGACAATGAAAAATTACTAACTTTGGATGTTGTTGACCCTCCTAATTGGAATAATCTAGAAAAGTTCAGAACACTCTAGAGGGGTCCTAAGATTTTGTAGAACATTCCATTATTCCGTTAAGATGAGTCTAGAATTCTTTACAATATTATAAGAACTGTGGAGCCTTCGTGGGATCCAACTGGGTTGTTGTCATTGTAGAGCCTTCTAGATACTTATGTAAGGTAAGAGTATGGAAGGGTAGAGAAGAAGAATGAAAGTGGGTAGAGATTCCTTGTAAATCTTAGAAAAAAGAAGACATTTGTAGCGAGCTGATCTGCATCGTTTGCTCAAATTAATTCCCTACCATTCATTATGGAAGTGGAGTATAGTACGAGTGGAAGACTCCATCCCTAGCCATCCGAGCTCTTTCCCAATATGAATTGGGCTATGGTTTTAGGTATTGTGGATATTATATTTTTGTTTTGTCTCATGCATACAATTACCTGGAGGTGTAATGCATAGCATAAAAGTGAATGGGTTTTGCTCTTTTTTGCATCACAACAATACGAAAGACAGAGCTAGCAAATGCTTTGATCTTAGATCCAATATGATTAACAAGTGTTTGTGGAGGTATGATGTAACTACATTACTACAAAAATTCTTTTAAGGTTAGATATGAGGAAAACACCTCTTGTGAGTCTTATCCAAGAAGCTCAAAGTTGTTACCTTTAAAAGAAAAAAAAAACTTGTTAAAAAAGAATCATAGGAGCAAGGAATTGAGTACTTAAGATATTGATAGTATAACCTGAATGTCAGTAGAATGCGTGGGTGTTAGCAGTTGCGATCTTTTGAAGTCTCAAGATGCAATGAGCTCTGCCAAACATGCTCTCAGAGTCAGTGTACCATTGATATATGAAATATTTGAAGATACTATGGCTGCCTGTATTCCTAATATAACCGTGTTACTGTTTTGACATTGTTTCTACCAAGTATCAATTGCATGTGGATTTTAATCAATTAGAATTCACAAGTGAAAACTCAATGTATGAACTATAACTTGTTCATGCACCTAAAATACTAATAGCTAGGTGAACTTTGGCTTTCTACTAAAGTATATTACAACAGGTATACTGGTATTTTTCTTCCAGGGTTGCTCTTCACTTTGTTAGTGAGATGCAGGACAAAGCTCAGAAGAATTTTGAAGCCAGCAGAGACCGAGCATTGCCGGTTTTTGGTGTTGGGGTTGCATTCGTTGATGAACAATCAGTTTCAACAGACCATTGTCATGAGTTTGATATAGCAATAGAAGATATGAAGTTGATGGTGTCAAATTTGGCTCCGCCACTGAAAAAGTTCCTCGTTGTCCCTATTGAGTCTGTCTACACATTAGAACCTTCTAATGGAAGAGAACGGCTGAAAAAGTTGATTAATACTATAAATGATACAACTGGGAAAGAAGATCTCCTGGAGCATTTGCGCATGTTGGCCTTGCAAAAGGTTGGCCTAAAAAAAACTACTCCCCATCCTAAAATTATCGTCAAACTTTTTCTTCTTCCTTTGCTTATTTTCATTAATCATTTGTTAAGTTAACATGGTCATGTTATCTCTTGTTTTATAGAGCATTTGATGTAGTTTTTTAATGTATGAATTTTATTTTGAAATTTTGTACCTTTATTTCAATAAATTGAATTGAAAATAAACTCACTCAAGCCTTGTTAGAAGATTATTTTAGGACGGAGGGGGTACATACACTTAGAGCATTTTATTGTGATGAAACTACTCATCTCCACTGCTGATTTCTTTGTGCAGGTTGCTCTGGAAAATGGATACACCAAAATTGTGTTAGGCAAGTGCACATCAAGGATTGCTTGCCATGTACTTGAAGCAACCGTCAAGGTTTGTATCCCAGTCAGCAAATAAAAAGAGACAAGTAAATTGAGATGCAGTATTTAATAAAACTCTGCTCTTTCAATGCGATCTCTCCAGTTATTATTTGCATTTTATTTTTAAAAAAAGAAGTTATAACTGTTTGAGTTATTCCACATCGGAAAAGTGAGAAGAAACTAATCGGTATATAAGCTTTTGAGTTGAACTAAGTAATCGATTGAATTCAATTTTTTAATGTGGTTCAGCTCAAGTGTTTTATGACCTAATTTAGTAACGCATTCCCCATAATAAATTCTATCATGGTGTCCGTCTAGACGTTCATCCCTAGTGGCTCGTTAGCCTTTAGCCCAGTTATCCGTATGGAGCATGTACCCAATGATCCGTGGCCCGTTTAATTCGATTGCTCGTCTGGAAGTCCATATTCATCGGCTTGTGATCCTTTAGGTGTTGGCGCTTAAAAAAAAGAAGAAAAGTCAAGGGGATGAGAGTCCATTTGCAAGTGGTCAACCGGTTAGATTCAAAATGGTCCGGTTGTCCACTTGAGGGAGAGTGTTAGAGTTATCCCACACTCAAAAAGTGAGAAGAAACTAATCGGTATATAAGCTCTTGAGTTGAATTAAGTAATCGATCAGATTCAATCTTTTAATGTGGTTCAATCAAAGTGTCTTATGACCCAATTCAGTAACCCATTCCCCATTATAAATTCTATCAATAACAATATATGACAAGTGTGTTGTAGTTTTCATGGGAAATATAAGATGAGCTTCACAAGATCCCTGCAAATAATACTCCTAGTTGACAGCCTAATGCTGAAGAATGGAAACTGTTGTTCTTATACATCCCCATAGAGTTTATAGAATGAAAGCCATCCTAAAGTCTTTAATAGAGGGAGTTTATGCGGTTGAGAATTGTTCATTATGAATGAGAAGTACTCACTATGTTGGCATCTCCATCCTATATTACTTGTTGAATGTGTTTGCAGAGAAAAAGTGAACGTAACTAATAATAATACCACCACCCCTACCAGTAACTATGTTTGTGTGCACAAAAATGTGTAAAATATAAACTAGGATGCCTCACTTGCTAATCATGGTCTTATTAAAATTTAAAAGTTGATGCATTGAAGTGATGAATACCTGAAAGCTGGAGTAATTTGCATAGTGAACACATGGTGTCTTCAACTGTATAACTATTCAGCTTACTAATAATAGAGGTAACAAGAATAAAGTCCTTATTTTCCATGAATGATTGCTTTATGACTAGTAACCAAATGACCTAGTATGCGTCTATATTAACTAGACAAAATTTGTTTTCTTTCTGAAACTTCTGACAAAAATAGAAGCATGAATGATTGTTTTATGACTTGTAACCAAACAGCCTAGTATGCGTATTTATTAACCAGAAAAATTTTGTTTTCTTTCTGAAACTTCAGAGGCCTTAAATCCATGCTCCTAGATGTAGTCAAAACAGCATGGAATTGTATATGGCTGTAGTCAATATATCTTGCATTGTCTGATAATTGGAGACTTAGTTTTTGTCCGACGTCACCTAGTATGCAAAAGGTCCAATATAGCAGCATTTTTTTTACAATTTTACTACAATATTCTTCCAGGGAAAAGGTTACTCGCTAGCTGCAGACATCCAGTACGTTGATGCAAGGTGGGAAGTCCCAGTAGTGCTCCCCCTTCGTGATTGTTTCTCTCATGAGATTGACTTGCTGTGCTGCCTAGAAAGGTTTGTCAAATGTATTGCTTTCTAGTGCTATGTTCCTTTCAAATGTCCTTTATATGAGGAAAATATACTCTAGTCAAGCCTGTCGTGTGCTCCATGAAGTAATATCTTCCACTTTCCTGTGTATTTTACATTATTACTCCATGATCTAACTAATTTAACCTTTTGGTAGGGCAGTTTAAAGACAGTAGAAGTGTTTCGTGGTAAACGTTCTGGCATCAATGGTCTGGTCTCCTCATTTGTGAAGTTATTGCAGGTAAAAAGCACTGTCAAATCAAATTTGTTATATATAAATACATTCAATGCCTTGCTTAAGATAACAAGCAAGGTGAGGAATCAATATTCAAAACATTTGCCGGGGTCCATTAAGAACTTTATTTCCCATAACTATAACTGAGACATGTTTCTTTATGTTTTCTTTCTATAGACAGACAGTCTGCTATTAGTTGGACTTAATTTGAATGTGTGCATATGAAGGGCATTTATTTGTGACTTTGTGTGAAATGTTACCCCATAGTTTAATATGGTTTATCAGATTTTGGCTTCAAAAGTGCTTTGAGTTTCAGGGTCTTGCCAAATCAAGGTCTTCAAAAAACAAAATCATTTAACGGGCATCAACTAATTGGATTTTGGCGAGCTCAAACTTAGTATAGGTTTTGACCCTTGCAGAGCATTAGCTTAAAGTTGATTTCATATGTAACAAATATGTAAATATCATGTTTCAGGAGGAGAATCCTTCCAGAGAGAGCACAATTGTAAGAACGGCTGGAAAGCTTACCCCTTTTCATTTCAATAGGATTCCAGAAGATAATAAATCTCATGGTCCTGCAGCATCTCAGAGGAGGCAGAGGAAGCGCATTCTCAAAACAGATAATTTGCTCTCTCAAGAGTCATTTTGTCCTGTATGCAACTGTCCAATCAAAATGTCCGACTTAACAACTACGACCCATTCTGAGGATGCTCAAACAAGTGTGGATCTTATGGAGTTATGCTGCTTGAGTTGCCGGTTCCAGATTTTACCTGCAGAGCTCTCATCTTTGAACCTTTTTCATTCCTTCCTACCAGACCCAATAGTTGCTCGAGCGAATGATGCGAGGTCTTTAAATCATAGTTGGCTAAGGTAATAAATGCTCTCTTTATCAAAAGCTCTGTTTGATTGGACAGAAAATTAAGTAGTGTTTAAGATTGTGTGGTTTTGAGCTTCCTCTTCTCTGAATTGGGTGGTGGTGTGTGATGGCAACCAAGGTGGTGATGTTAGTGGCCAGTGTGGCAGACACCATAAAGGGGGTGGTAGTAATTCCAAAGAGGTAGTGAGAGTGGAACAATGTGGCAGCAGCCGATCGGGTAACCGTAGGGTAAATGAGGCAGTGACTTTGGGTGGGTGATGGCATCCCTGTTTTGACATTATTTTTTTATTACATGTAATATTAAACGAAGTGCACATATGATACATTTTGTTATATTTTACCAATCCAGAAGTAAAAATGTCAAATTTAAGGAGCAATGTTGAAGGAAAAACACCCAAAAAAAACATTTATTTGAGGTAGAAAGCAATTTTCTTGATTCCTTGCCTTTAACTGAAATAATATAATCTTCTTTTGAATTCAGTATTTTTTTTCCTGAACCATATTTGTTCTTGGGTGGGGACTTAACAGTGTACTCTATTAGTCTCTTACAATCAAACAGAGCCTTCAGCATATAATTAAGTTTTGATGGCCCTTCTTCAAATTATGTGAATGTGCTTCCTTGTTTTGTTGTTCAGGGAGCAAATAGAGGACTGCTTGCTCTCAGACACTGAAGTGGAGGCCTAAACATGTGTTATAAACTCAGCTTGCGGAGCAAGAAATTGGCAGGAAATCAAAGACAGTTCATATTGAAATTTGGTCCGTGTTTGTAGTTCATTATGATGGTCTGTTTGGCAAAATTCCTAGAACTGTTCTTGAAACTAGTTAACTAGAAGAACTGTTTGTGATTCTTCCAGCTGATTCTGATTATTAATTATTTTATAAAATACTATCCAGAATAATCTCAACTTCGACTGTACCTGTTCTTTCAAAAAATTACCTTACTTTTCATTCTGAAGCATAATAATTCTAACTTTATTAAAAATTGCAAATTTTGGGTTGCCGTTAAACAACTAGGGGATGGTTAATAAAGTTGTTTTGTGCAACAAAATGAAAATTGAGATTATTTTTTATGAATATTCTTTTTTAATTTTGATTTTTTCTTTTTGAAATTTTTTCTTAAACTTTTAAAATGAGTTTCAACCTCCATTATTCCTTTTTTAAGGAATTATAAATGTTGCTGTTAAATCTCAATTTTCGTATATTTTAAGTGTTTTACTCCATTATTTTAAATAAAAAAATATTCTGTAAAAAATAATAAAATAGAAATCACCCTAACTAGGACTAAAACATAAAGAAAAGTATCAAAATAAGACTTTTATGTTTTTTATCTTGAAATAAGACTTTGCGCTATGGTAATGTGACTTTGCACTGTGATAATGTGACAGTGTACATGTGCACATTACTATACTTTTTTGGTAATGTATATGACCATGTTTGGTAATGTAAATCTATTTCGAAAATAAAAATATGGAAGTCCTATTTTTGTATATTTTTAATGTTTTAGTCTTACTTTGGTCTTTTTCCATAATAAAATTATTTTCTTACTTTTACGTAATTTTCTTTTAGTTACTTTATCAAAAATAATCTCAACTTCAATTTTTTGTCTAAAACAATTTATATCCGTTAACCAGCCGTTAGCAACTTAACGACAACCCAAAACTCACAAATTTCAGTGAAATTGAGATTATTATGTATCACAATGAAAATTAAGATAATTTTTGAAAGGCCCGATAAAATTAGAATTATTTTAAATAATTTTTCCTTATTTTATTACACTATTATTTTGTGTCACAATCAGATCACATAAGTCATCCTCACCAAACACATCAGTTTGGTTCTCGTCTAGTACATAAATAAAAATCAATACCAATACCATCAAATTTAAAGTAAATCGTCCTATAATCAAACTTTTTTGCCGAACACCATCATCCTCCGTACATTAGTACATAATTGCATCTATACAACATTTCACAGAACAGAAGCATATGTCCCAAGCTTTTTACCAGGTGAAATGAAACAAGCACAAACACAGTGTTCCTATGGATCACTAACTAGAGAAAGGAATTCCTCCAATTGGCTTCCGACCACTACAATGCCAAATTTTCGTTCATAAACTGCATTCACCGCATCAGCTGAGAGATCTTTGGTTGCATCTTCAGAAGAGACATCAATGTACTCATTTAGATTGTTCAAGGTTCCATCTGGATACACAAATACATAAGCTGAGGTTAGGACACACTAACATGGCAATAAAGAAAGACATCAAAGTACTGCTAATAGGTTGTAACTCAGGTATTACAAATATACAATGTCCATCTCACAAAGAAAGTCAAAATTTAACTTTCACGATCTCCGATACAACACGTACACCCACTTCTATATGGTTTTTATTTAATCAAATTATATCAATTTAATATATCCTAAAACATTAAAAAATCAACGCAAAGAAATTACAGTTGGACTGAAATTTAAAATCTTCTGTTCCAAAAAGAGTCACACTTTCCAAATCAGGGGTCCTAAAACTAAAGCCACACTTCTTTTATTAACATTATGTACCCTACCTATTCATTCAGTTTTACACTTTCTATTTCATGTATTCTCGCCATTTGAATGAGTTATCACCATCACATGCTTTTACACTAAAGCACGGGCACAAAAGGAAAGCAATTCACCACTTTAGCAAAAAGAATGGCGTATCAACAAGAACCGGTTATTTAAGCCTTGAAGGAAAACCAACTTTTAAGATAAAGTTGATAGAAAATAAGGGATAATGCAAAATTGCACACAAAGTTTTAACACCTTCCCGAGTCCCCGGTAGAACAATTTTTAAGGCATTTGTGGGTGTCCTCTTTCTAACAGCATTAGAGAAAACATCACAATAAAAGCACATTAAAAAGATTAGTTTCATGAGAGCCGAATCATCTAATGTTTTTGGCTTTGTGCACTGCATTAGCAGCACGAAAATGCTAAATTAACACTTAGTTCTTGCATTTACCTTCAGCAACAATGGCTTCACAAGTAGGAGGTGGAGATTGCCAGTTTCCTGCATTATCTATCATGTGACTTCTGTCGGATGCAAAAGACCTGAGGAAAATTGGGGCATGCACAATACGGAAGTACCTGAAATTGGGGGGAGGGGGTCCATAAAGACATAATATAAGAAGCACCAAGTCTCAAAATAGTGGTCATATGTGTGTGTGTTTGTTATTAAGACATCATATTTGTTACCTTTTAAACTCTGAAAATAGCGGAAAGGAAGGACGAGTGGTTTCAAAAACATAGGATGGTAGAGGAGATGGAAATGGGAGAGTCGAATCTAAATCCCACACTAGGTGGGAAGAGTTTTCGTCTTTCCTTTTCTGAAGAAGAAGAAAAAAACCAAGATCAATAATGGTGAGAACATGTATTCCATTATTGTATGGCGTAGGTTTGATGTCCAGACACAGAAAGCCTAGTTCTCACCTGTATGCATATAACATGATAATCCCAGAGAACAACTCCATCAGCCCTATGGCTAGCCTTTTGATTCCATAGTGGAACCTGAAAGAATGTCATGGCAATGGACAAAGTTGCATTCTCAGACAGATCCAATAGTCTGCAAGTCCGTTTACATCTAAACTGTCTTCTTTCTAGTTATCTGACATCAATCTCTCAATCTCATCAATCCTATTACTGTATGGTAGACCAATAATTTATCACAAGAATTCGATAGTAACAAGAAGGGAAGACGTGTCGCACCATTGACCTTGAGGTCACAGCTTTGAGACTTGGAAGCAACCTCTTGCAAAAAAAGTCTTGGGACCCTTGTTCAATGGGTATGCTTTGTGCACCGGGTTGCCCCTCACTTCATATTGGATATTCTTTTTAATGGATCTATTAACTATAAGAACACTAGTCTCCGGTTGGAATTCAATAGCTTTTTCAAAACACTAAGGGTCCGTTTGGTATAAGGAATTGATGGAATTGGAATTGAATTGGATTTGTAATTCCATGGGATTCAATTCCATAGAATTGAATTCTGTCAATTTCAATTCATTTTTTGCACTATTAATTCCAAATCTACATAATTTTTGTGTTACCAAACACTAGAATTGGAATTGAAGTCCCCAATTCCAATTCCATAGTTTGAATTCCATGTACCAAACGGGGCCTAAACCTAATTCCAAACACACACTTAAGAACACACAGCTCTGAAATTTCCGAGTAATAAATGAATAAATAATTTTACTTTACCAATAATAACTCTATAAAAATTGAGAAAAAACTTATGAATCTATTAATCTCAAGTTAAACAAATCAAGACAATGAAAAATTAAGAACAAAGGGAGATAGGCATGCCTGCTTCTTATCGTTGCAAATGAACACAGCAAACAAATCAGAGGCATCTGGATTTGCCAGCCCACCAGCGCATAGCTTCTTGCAAAGCTGGTACACATTTTCCTCACTAAAAACAATATGTGAGATATACATAAAATCACACACATTGTAAATGACGCAAAGTGCAAAACAAAAACAACCAAAACGATAAAGGGTTACAGGTGATTAATTGAAACATATGAGTGCTTGTAAACGAAAGATGAAAAGGGGCGGAAATAACATTTTCAGCGAATGAATGTTTCTACCAGTAAAAAGGGGTGTGTTGGAAGGAAGATAGTTCCAAGTTCGAGACTGTGATCATCTTTCGTCTTATTCTTCTCTTTTGACCGACCGACCGGCCGGGGGTGTCGGAAGGGAGGTTCTTTTTAAGGCCTTCCGTTAATAGATCCCGCTGCTCCCTGTGAGTCTGTGTAGGTTCAAGGCTATTTTTATTTAGAAAAATGTTAGAGCACTGGAAAACGTTCCAAGTCAGGACTTTCAAAGCTTAATTTAAATCACACTAGTATTAATTCCCAACTTTCTAAGGGCTCACATATTTTCTAAATTTTAACATCTAAAAAAATAGAATATTGTTTATTTTAAATTATCTAATGATATATCTTGTAGTATAAAATATCTCTTTTTGAGAGAAAAGTTTTAGTTTTAATAGTGATGTGCATGTACTAAAATTTATATAAACTTTTATTTTGAGATGTAATAAAAAAAAATGATGAATATTTTACTAAAAACAACATCAGACTTTCTTTTTAAAAAGATTAATAAAGTTTATAAATTTTTTTTAGATATATGACTAATTCTGTATGAAACATATTTCTAAAAATATGTTTTAAAATGGTGTAACACATTAACTCTAAATGAATACAATCATTAAATTAAATATATTAAGATTTTTTTTATCTACACTCCCTTCGTTTCAAAACGGTTATCATAGTTTGATTTTTCTGGTAAAACTATATAACACGTTTATTACAAATTAAATACAATTTTAAATAATAAATGTCATAAAAATTTGATCTATGAAAATCGTTATTTAAATGGACACATTTTTTAAATTTACATTATAATTAAATACAGAGTATATTATACTTTTTGCACACTTTGTAGTTATGGTTAAAGTATAGAGCAACTTATCTAAAAATATCAAATTAATATCAAATGAAATTAAAATTGATTTAATTATTGAAAAAATAAAAGAAAAATGCCAAATAAACAAATTAAGTAATGATAAATCATTAAAAAAATATGTATGTGGTATATGGCCTATATGCCATGTGTAATACTTCAAAAAAACAAATTTATTTAATATAATTTGATGAATTAATATATAAAAATTAAATAATTTTATAGAAAAAAAACATTTTAAAGTAAAACATATAGTTAATAAAATATAGTTATTTTTTAGAAATAACAAAATAAAATAAATGCAGGGTTGTTTTTAAAAATTTATTAAATGTTATTTTTTTAATTAATAAAATTATAATACTTTTCTTTGAATAATCATATAATTATGCTTATTTAAAAATATGTTATAAGAATGAAAATATATTTTTCTAATAGCTAGAAAGTGAAGAGTTTTATAAAAAATAATAAACATAATGATTTTTTAAAAAGTAAATGATTTTATAAACACAATAAAAATAACGGTGATTTAATGTTAGAAAGTGGAGGTTTTTAACATATCAGTAAACATAATACTTATTCAATATAAAAATAAGTATGCACACCTGGCAAGACATGTGACATGGTGTGTATAGCTAGCGTGAAAGTTTATATAAAATTAATGGTTATTGATTGAAGTGTTAATGAAAATTGTTTTTATTAAAAAAAGAAATGTCAAATGAACCAATTACATAATGACATGTCATTAGAAAATCCATATGCGACATATGTCGCATGTCATCCTTCATTTAAACAAATTTTTATTTTCTTAGTTTGTTGAAAAATATATTAGAAAATAATTATTGTATGAAATTAGTATTGTATTAAGTAAAAATGCATATATATATCATACTACATACATAATTGCATTAGTTTTATTGAGAAGTATTCAAATGAAATAAATGGTGAATAGTTTTTAAAATTATATACAATGTTGTTTTTTAGTTAATGAAGTTTATATATTATTATGTTATAATAATTGTGCATTTAAAAAAAATATGTTATGCTAATTAAATAGATATTTTAAAAAAAATTCAAAAGCAAAGTGTCGATAAATAACTAATAACAATAATGGTTACTGTTGGGATTCCTCCAAGTCCCACACCGGATGTGTAGGAGTAAATGAACCAAAATATATAGGTTCACTCAACCCCATTAGTATGAGACCTTTTGGGAGATGCCCAAAAACAAATCCGTGAGGGCTTGGCCTAGAGCGGACATTATCATACTAATGCGGGGTTAGGATGAGGGCACGCACAGTCCCAACATGTGGTATCAGAGCCCAGGTTCTTGCGGGAGCCTTGCGTCGAAAGTCTTTCCGACAGGAGGTGGGGCGGCGTGTCTCGCAAAGAGTGTGTGGCGGTGCAAGATGGTTAGCAGATAAAAATAAAAATGGATTACCGCTGGAGGAGAGGTCGGAAGTTGTGTGGTCCTTGGTTGAGGGAAGTTTTGTTGGGATTCCTCCAAGTCCCACACCGGATGTGTATGATTAAATGAACCAAAATATATAGGTTCATCCAACCCCATTAGTATGAGGCCTTTTGGGAGGTGCCCAAAAATAAATCCGTGAGGGTTTGGGGAGCTTGGCCCAGAGCGGACAATATCATATTACGGGGTAATGGTGAGGGCACGCACAGTCCCAACAGTTACTTAGTGTTAGAAAGTGAAGGGTTTATAAAATTTTAATAAAAACTAAGGTTGTTTAATTCTAGAAAGTGGAGGGATTTTAAAAAATTTAATATAAATAAATATGCACTTGTGGCATGGGGTGCGTACGTGACGTGAAAAGTTTTATACAAAATAAATGGTCAATGAAATAATTTTCAATTAAAATAATTAAAACTTCCAACAGCCAAACTGAAACGCTACTCTCGTAGCATTTTAAATTTTGGTTTTTCGAACTCAAATAGCCAACCCTCATAGCCAACTACCAAACACTTTTTTCGGTTGTTTAACCAGTCAAATCTACTAAAATTGGTCAAAACAGCTAAAAGCCATCGTAAATGCCAGAAACCAAACATGCCATAGTTAGTGAGTACCATTGTGGAAATTTACCTTGATGTAAATTAAATAAAATTGGATTAAATTTACAATATAGTTTTGATATATCGAATTTTTAAAATATTAAATTTTGTAAAACTATACTCTTTTCTTCTAAAAATTATATTCTTATTTACTATTCACATGATAGAACTTTATTAATTTTGTTGGCATATTTTCATTGTTCATTTGATAAAATAATATTTTAATGTCACATTTAGTTTTATAGATCTTTTATTATAATTATTTGAATATATAGATTTATTTTTTAAAATTCATACAAATTTAATTATAAAATAATTTAAAAATAATTTTAATTAAACATTTAGATAAACAGGGAAAGCATTTAATTTGTTGGGAGGGAGGGAGTAACAGTATAATACACACGGAGTATGTAGTTTCTCACACGCACTATCCGAACATCTAGCCTCTTCACCACTTTCCATCTCTCTCTCTCTCTCTCTCAATGATCATCGTCTTTCTATACCGTGCCCGCATATGGCTTCGTTTCTTCTACTCTCCCCTGTTTTTTCGCCCAGACGGAAAAACAAAGGCCAGAATTCACCTCAAAAGTCGGGAGGAAAAAAGAGCGTTTTTCTCCAATCAAAATTTTCACTTCGCCGCACCAATTTCTTCTTCTTCTTCTCTCACAAATGCATCGTATCCGTTTTCATAAGGTGCGTCTACGAACCCATTGTGCTTTGATTGCGGATCTTAAATGTTGGAATTGAATGCATATATGCTAATTTCTTATCGCGATACCTCTCCTTTAGTTTCTTGTTTTAATATATGCGGCATATTATGCAATATGTGGAGTAGGACAATATTACACCGAGGAATTCAGTGCAGTGTACCTTGTGTTGGAAAAATAAAGCAAAACGGGCCTATGAGGTCATTTTAGGGCTTCAATATCAATGTGGTCTAATAATGGTTTGGGTCGTTTGATATGAATAATTTAGTGATAGGGAAAGGCTTCGAATGAATTCTAGCTTCAGAAGCATAGAAGCATTTCTAGGACCATGTGAGTTCGTTTATGTTTTCACTACCTAGAAAAGAACCGCATAAAACTCTATAGCTTATAAATTTGCTCAATACTTTTAACTAAAATACATTAAAATAATTAGGGAAAGATATTTAATTAATTAAATAGCATAATCCTCCTGCTATAACACCGTTACAAAATGAAAATGCATTCTACTTAGTGATGCAAAAAACAAATGTTTTGGTATGTTTTACGTAAAAAATGGTTAATGAGTAAATAAGAAATTTATGCTTAAAGTAGACCCGTTGAGTAGTAATTAATGAACTAAATGAAGTGTGTGAAGTTTTATCTAAAATGGGGGACGTGTTCCCACATTGGAAACTCAACTCATATGCTTCCTTATAAAGGTGAAACCCTTTATGGCTTCATAAATTGCTTTTATGGAAGGATAAAAGATGAACCTACGCGTTAGACTTCACCCAGAATTTTCGTCAATAATTCCCCATTCGTTTTTCGAGTTCACCTAAGTTAACGCAATCCACACATATGCCTAACTCGTTAGACGTTTTATCCTACTAGCAAGTCAGCCTTATTTTACCAGTGCAGCATGCGGCCGATATTGTCTTAAGGATAGCCTTTTGACGACTCTTCTCTTTTACTCTGTTTCACACTACCATCCAGTACCGTTCCGGCAACCCATACACATAGAACCAGAAAGTATGTAGTGTCATCCTCCACTGTCTAATTCGGACAAAGCTCCATTTCATTATACTATTTTAATTCAATTAGATTGTATTTCATCGGGTAGTTATAAGTCCAAATTAGATTACAATCCTGCGTTTGTGAGCCCACCCCAGAAAAAAAACAGTGTTCGTTGGAATCGTTTCATATGAGCATGATCTTTTGCTAACTTCCGCATAAGGTTACCAAGTTTTCCATCAGGCCAAATTTCCCATTTTTTGATGATTTAATGGGCAGTTTTTAAGTTATCACAATTGATACAAAAGAATATCACCAGAGGGTGACCCATGGAAGCTGCCAGCTAGAAGTTGTAAATAGATGTTCCCATGAACTTCTAGCATACGTTTTGCATTATTTTTATAGAACATTTGCTGATGCTCACAAGCATCAGTGATGCTGATATCACATTGGTATAACCATATAGGGTGGCTGGTGGCATTCTATCATTCTTACCAAAAGGACTTATTTAAGTATACTAAAGTCTTCCTGATTTTTGTTACCCTCGCTGCATTAATTGTTAATATAATTGCAAGGTTATGTCGTATATCTTGTGGACTTGGAGTCTATTAAAAGTGGCAATAAGCAAAGTTTCTGTGTTTTAAAAAGCAGCATGTTGCATCAAGGGATTTGTGTGCATCATTTCACTAAAGGTTACAAATTTGTTATGTTTTATGCAAAAGATGTGTACTTCCTAAGTCCTAACGGTCTATTTTCTACAGAATTAGTTAGGTTTTGAATGTCTTTATTGACTTGGTAGTTGCCTAGTTGATGCATTATTTTCTTTGTTTTCTTAGCTGGTGAATTTGTAAAATAATAGATTGTTTCCTAAGCTCTTGCCTTGACTTTACTGTTTCATCTCTCTCTCACTCTGTGATGATTTTCATGTGACGATTTTCATGCTTCCTAATCATATTTGTAGCTGGTTTTGTATAGACTTCTACTACCTGAAGGAAGAGTTTGAAGCTGCACGTGTCATTATTGCTAAATAAACTCTGCATCTAGACAATGTCAGGCTCCGTGAAAGTTTTGGAACCAGCATTTCAGGGAGCAGGACAAAGAGCGTATCCTATTCCATACTAATATTTGATGTGTTTATTAGTTTGTTTCGATGCATGTGTGGCTACATGCAGGAGTTGGGAATCTTCTTGCATCATATATGATCTGACCACTAGAACCGGTGTGTCTCGTGCTTGGGCAGCACAGAAGTTTTCCTATTATCGATATGTTATTATTAGTTTCCTTTTAGTAACACTAGCATTTAGTAATATTAGTATTAGTTTCATATTATTGGTATTAGTAATGGGCCAATGGTTTCCTATTTATATTGGGATTCTATTTAGTTAACATCCATAATACTAATACTTCCTCTGTCCGGAAATATTCTTCACATTTGACTTTTCTTGGTCAAAGTTTGTAAACTTTGACTTCAATTTATGAAAAAAATATATTGTATTATGATATAAATTTAATATCAATATATTCCTAATGAAATGTAGTTTTGAAATATCAATTTTTTATAAAATATATCTATGTATAAATATAGATATTAATGGTCAAAATGCAACATTGGAGACCGTGAAAAGTCAAATGGGAAGAATATATCCTGACGGAGGGAGTATTAATTTGGGCTCCAGCACTTGATCACCAAGGCTCTGAGTCTTTTCAGCAAAGCCAAGCAGTGGCTCTTTATCTTCATGCATTTCATTCTTCATCTTCTCCCAACTAAACATGTAACCCATTCATGATCTTTCATTTTTCATCTGTCCCAAGAAAAGAGTCCTACTTCGGTTTACAATGCTTGACCAAATTTGATTTTAATTCAATATTTTTGAAAATTGGTGTAAAACTTAACAATAAAAATTATATATTTAAAAACTACATCAAGACTTATATAAAAGAATTGGTGACTTTGACTATTTTATTTTATCATATGATCAATGAAAATGGGTAAAGAAAAAAATATAGCTTGACCCTGGAATAGCAAAGATGACTCTTTTTTGGGACAGAGAAAGTATGAACTTTTTAGGGATTTTGACTTTTAGGTTGCCCTTAACTTCCTGTAGAGGGATTGAGATTTGGAGAGTTGAGAATTTCCAGCCAGTTCCTTTGCCAAAATCTGATTATGGTAAATTCTACTCAGGGGACTCATACATAATCTTGCAGGTGCAAATTGGTTACTTCTCTCATATCAGTACAACTCTATCTTTTAATATGGTTAATTAAATGGACATAGATAACACCGGTTAATCAATAACACTATTTTCAGACAACTTCTGGTAGGGGAGGCTCTTATTTGTTCGACATACACTTTTGGCTGGGAAAGGATACTAGTCAGGTATTGCCTCTTTTTTTTCTTCATTTTGTGTCACCCTTTTGTCAAGCATATGTTTCCCCTTAGGTTTTGAAATAATACGTTAGGATGAAGCTGGAACAGCTGCAATTAAAACTGTGGAACTTGATACCATGCTCGGAGGACGAGCAGTGCAACACAGAGAAATCCAAGGTCATGAATCTGATAAGTTCTTATCCTATTTCAAACCATGCATTATACCTTTAGAAGGAGGTGTTGCATCTGGATTTAAGACCCCAGAGGAGGAGGAATTCGAGACTCGCTTATATTTGTGTAAAGGAAAGAGGGTTGTCAAGATGAAGCAGGTAAATTTTGTCCATATTGATTTCAGGTCTTCCTCCAATGCTTGTATAATCTACCATTGCTATACTACAAGAGATTGTAATCTCATTCAGCTTGGTAGCAGGTCCCATTCTCTCGTTCCTCACTAAATCATGATGATATCTTCATTCTGGATACTAAAGATAAGATATACCAGTTCAATGGTGTGAACTCCAACATTCAGGAGAGGGCAAAAGCATTAGAAGTAGTCCAGTTTTTAAAGGACACTCATCACAATGGAATGTGTATGGTTGCTATTGTAGGCAAGTATTCTATGTATAATACAATATTGACATTTTAAATTTCATGTCACCGACCTCAACATAGCTGCAATTTATGTGGTGATGATATCATATTTGAAACCTTGGCCATAGATTTCTATAATTGTTTTCTGAGAATTATTATTCTGCTTACCAGAAGATGGAAATCAAGCTGAACCTGATTCTGGTGAATTCTGGGAGGTTTTTGGCGGGTTTGCTCCAATTTTCCGGAAGATTGCTGGTGAAGATGATATCATTCCAGAAAAAACTCCTCCTAAACTCTTCTGGTATCATTTTACTTCAATAACTTCCTCTCTTTTATCAATTTAGATCTCCAAGTGAGCTTTATCAAGCTTGGCATACGAGATCTCTCAAACACTAATCATTAGTTTAACCTTTAAATTAAATGGGTGAAGCTTCAAATTTTGTTTGAGGTTAAACTTAACTTTTTTCCGAATATCATGTTTGGGATCAATCTTTTAGCTTTATTTTCAATCTTGTGAGCTTAATTGCAATGTTTAACGGATAGATTGTAGGCTGAATTTAACAAATGTGAAGTATATTGGTAATGGCTAGTCCCATTCATTGCTTTATTCTTTCTTTTTCTCTATTTTGGATATTGAAATAAATTAATAGTCCACCCTGTAGTCTGTAGTCCAATCATTTTGTTTTTAGCCAGATTTTTTTAATTAAACACAAACTTATTTGAGTGCATTAGTTGAATGAAGCGATAAAACCCATTCTTATGGCCCCTCAGTTGATCCGATTCTGCAATGTAGGCCTCCGCCCTCAATTTGGTGCAATCTAGCCCTTCAATGGTTTACTCAATTATTAGGAAGCAGGGGACTCAATTGACTATTTTTCAAATAATTGAGGGACTGAGTTGCACTAGATTGACAACAGGGAACTACACTGCAGAATCAGAACTACTGAGTGACAAAAACATCATTTTCCCTTTTAAAAAAGTAGTAGGGATGTTCTTTTCTCTTACTCATTTAAATTAAGTAAACTAAATTTCTGCCATCATTGACAAGGTTTTAGTTTCCGGCCCATAATGTACTAAATCAAAATGGAACATTAAACTTCCCTTCTTACTTTCTGCGGGGTATAACGGAAATAGCATCTCTGTTTTCTACAGGGGTAAGACTGCGTACATCTTGACCCCCAGACCCCAATAGAGTTGGGATTATAATGAGTTGTTTCAGTTCTTTTTGCCCAATAAACATGTTTACTTTTCAGCCAAATTGTTCATAACTTCAGCTCATCCAACCATAATGAGCCCTATTTGCTAACAACATCAGTCTAGTAATTGATCTTTTTTCTCTGGTGCATCATTTTTTTGTGTATTACTCATTGACGGAGAAATATCTGTGAACTTGATACCTAAGTTGAAGTCAAACAAGCATGCCGCATTTGAATAACAGTCTCCTTTCTTGAGAATAATTCAGTTTTATATTTTTTGCTATAGATGTGTGTCTCTGTTATCTGATTTATTTGTTTGGTGTTTTTGCTCAAATTTCATCTTAATGATTCTCTCAGAGATTGTCAAGTGGTTGATGTTTATTTAGGTTATGATATAACTGATCGATATGATATGACATCTTCTTTTTCTGCAGCATTTCTAATGGTCAACTCAGTCCTGTAGATGGTGGCCTTTCCAAATCCATTTTGGAAAGCACCAAGTGCTACTTATTGGATTGTGGTGTTGAGATTTTTGTTTGGGTCGGTCGTATTACCCAACTTGATGAGAGGAAAGCTGCCACACAAACTGCAGAGGTTGAAAGATAGTCCTCATATCTGAATGTTAATCTGATGTCTGATGGAATATCTAACTTCTATGTAAAAACTATCCTTAGGCCTTCTTTGTCAGTCAAAACAGGCCCAAATCAGTAAAAATCACACAGCTCATCCAAGGTCATGAGACACATTCTTTTAAGATTGAATTTGATTCGTGGTCGTCTGGATCAGCATCTGAACCTGAGGAAGGAAGAGGAAAAGTTGCTGGTAAATTATGTGCCTAATACTTTTTAGTTGAATTTTACTTAAGGATAAAAAAGAGTGAATTCGTTCTTCATCCTTGTAGCTTTTCTGAAGCAACAAGGTGGTGGCATCAAAGCTTCAATCAAAAGTGCCCCTGCAAAGGAGGAAGCCCCTCCTCTGCTTGATGGAGGTGGAAAACTAGAGGTGGAGTTAACTTCTTTTCTTTCATACTGCTTGTTCATTCTTAGTTTGATGCTAAGAGCATCCTTTATCAGGTGTGGTGCATCAATGAGAATGCAAAGACTTCAGTTCCCAAAGAAGATGTTGGTAAATTTTACAGTGGAGATTGCTATGTAGTTCTATACTCCTACCACTCTCATCATGATAAGGAAGATTATTACCTCTGCTGGTGGATCGGAAAAGACAGTATTGAGGTAATGCATCCTGAAAAATGATTATAAGGATTTAGATAGATAGCTAATTTTTAACCCACACTTTTCGATTTTACGGAAAGGTTCTTCGTAATTATAATTTTATAATTTGTTTTGAGTTTATGGTACGCAGTGTCATTTCATCTTTTATTTATGTCAATGTTCAGAATATCTATATTTGACTTTACTTTTAAAGTATAAATTGTTTTAGTTTACTGGATTTTGCTAGTTTTTTATATAAACAATCTCGAAGATGCCTTTAGTTCTTAAAAGTTAGTCTAATGAATCTAGGAGGACCGGATGATGGCAGCTGATTTGGTTACCAAAATGTTCAATTCACTGAAGGGGAGGCCTGTTATGGTATGCATGCGTATGACTTCTATTTATGTGCTTCGCAAATCAGGTTTCTGGGTATAACACATATATCCTTCAGGGTCGGATATTTCAAGGGAAAGAGCCACCCCAGTTTGTTGCAATCTTCCAGTCGATGGTGGTCCTTAAGGTACGTTACACAGACGTCATCTCATTTGAGGGCTACACTCACATTACATAACCAACACTTTGCAGTATTTTATCAAGGTGGATTAAGTTCTGGATACAAGAATTATATCGTTGACAAAAATATAAATGATGAAACTTATACTGCTGATTCAGTTGCTCTTGTCCGGATATCTGGAACATCAGTCCATAATAATAAAGCAGTTCAAGTTGATCTGGTATGCTTTTCAACCCTTGAGATGTTTTATGTTGTAGTTGCTATAAATATTAAATAGGGTTAATGATTGTTTTTTAGGCAGCCACGACTCATGATTCTTGATTCCTTTCAAGATTTTTCGAACCCACTTCTATAGATCAAGGATGCTGAGTAATAACTAATATTTTTAATAAAACCAAACCACACATGCCTAATATATCTCACTTGGATGTTGGAAGGAGTAGCGTATGTAGAAGGTAAGATTTACACAAACCTTGTCTCTGCCGGTAGGATTAGATAAGTGGTTTCCGTGAAGGTGAGCTATATTGCTAATGGTGATTACAATTAGGGGGGATAAGGGCGAGGAGTACCTGCAAACATTGCAAAGCTAAGCTAAATGAGGAAGGGAACATATGATTCTTTCCTGTACAGAATCCTGATCATGCTTTCAGGAGCAGCAACTTGTCTCTTCATTTCTGTAATATTAGTTTTATGGCTAAACTTCAAACTTTCACCCGTCATCTGAATCTGTGCACTTGCCTGGACTATTGTTGCTACAACAGCAAATCCAGTATAATACCCGCTATGTGGGTGGGTGGGGGAG